TTATGTAAAGGTACAATTCCCAATGAGAAATGTAATTGTGTTGTATACCTACAATGTACCAATAAAAGAATTTAATTTAAAAAAAAAAAGTTCCTAATACAAAATTGGCACTCTGTAAGTGGTGTTAGATCAACTTAGGAACTACCCAGTGAAACAAAGACAACCAGGCTTCCTTAGAGGAAGGGGCCCTTCAGAGCCTTCATTTTGCTGGTGTGAGTTGTGCCTCCCTGAGCAATGGCAACAGCCAACCCACAACTTATTTGACCACAGACAGAGCCCCTTTGCCCCAGGAGGAAACAGCATTTGAGATGCAGAAACAACGTGAGCATGGAGAGGGTTGAAGATTAGAGAGCGCTGGGGAGTGCAGGGGAGCAAATGGGCCAGGTTAGGGAGAGGAGGAAGGAGGCCACCCCGGCCCTGCCCTGCCCTCCCAGCAGCTCCTATCCTGACCTCTCACAGGGTGACAGCGGTGGGCCCCTGATGTACCACTCTGAGCAGTGGCAGGTGGTAGGCATTGTGAGCTGGGGCCACGGCTGTGGGGGCCCAAGTACCCCAGGAGTGTACACCAAGGTCACATCCTATCTCAACTGGATCCACAATGTGCGGAAGGTGAGCATGTCTGTGGCACTGTGATGCCCTCCCTCTCTTCCTCCACCCTCCATCCTTAGATTTGACTTCAATGGATCTGCAACACTTTACATCTCAGATAAGCTTCCCTCCCAACAAGCTGTCAGCCTGAGATTCCACCATTAAGACTGTAATTCCTTAGGTCAGAGATTCCTGTTAGATACATGTACCTTAAAGTATGGAACACACGGAGATTTATCATTCTCTATTTTCTAACAGAAAGAGACTATCAGATCCTTTCCAGAGAGATTCTGATAAGGAAGAGGGTGGGAGAGTTTAGGAGACTTCCTAGTCCCTGGAGAGTAGAGAGAGAGAGGGCAAAGAACTTCAGCAAGGGAAGATAATCTTGCACTCCACCAATTTGCCCAGTTTTAAATCCTATGACTTTCTCTTCATCCTTCTTTTTCATTCTAGTCTGAGATGTAACACTGCTGTCCCTCTGCAGTGCTGAGCTGCTTCCCCCTGCACTGCCTACCTGGAGACCACCAAAAATCAGACTCAGAGCAAGAGCCCCCTTGGGCACAGGTGTCTTCCTGCAGTCTCAGGATTGCTTGAATCACCAAAGGGCCTCTGTTCCTGAAAGAGACCCCACAGCCCAGAGGTACCCAGAAGGAAGTCAGCTGCCTTAGCTCAGCCACCCCCAGGAGTGACACAGTGCACTGAACAGGACCAGCCAGTGGACCAGGCATCAGAGGCATTGCAGAACTGAGAAGGAACCTCTCTCTTGCTCTCTACCGAATGGAAGTGGCTCTTTCATGAGAGCCCAGAACACTAAGGGGTGAATGGAGGAGGAAAGGGCCTGACTAGCCCTCTCCTCCATCCATACCCAAGGCTAGTGGAGCAAGGAACCAGTTGTAATGTAAAATGTATTGTCCTACTGTTGGCATGACTACTGCTACCTATCACTTATTATTGATACTTGTATGGCTGTTATCATTAAACAGATGTGTGAAATCTTTGGCATCAGCTGAAATCTCTGAGTTGACTTGCTAAGAACTTACCCTTTATTCTTTGACCTGGAGATGAAGGGTACTGAGGAAGCATTTCTTAAAGTAGAGGCAGAGGAAAAAGGAGACATGGAGACCAGTTCTGCTGAGTTAGGACAACAGTGTGTTGCAAACAAGGAAGCCAGAGTGGTCAAATCTCATTCCTACTCAGGCCTTCTTTCTTTGTTGCAAATCAGTTGAGGGTTCTTTTGCTCAGTTTGGATGGAAACTACAAATTGGCAAAAATGCAGCTCAGTTAGAAGCTCCTGGCTTTAAGTGGCAATGGCCCTTGACCTTTAGTGTTACAGCTCTGGGGCTCTCAGCTACCTTTATCAGCTTCTCAGCAGCCAAAGCTAACCCTTGGCAGCTTTCCCAACAGCTTCTGCTGCATCTCTGGTGCTCCCTGATGAGCTCTGCAGATCTCTGGCAAACACTGACAATGGCTGCCAGCTGCCACCACCAGTTAGCCAGTTAACACCAGTCACCTGCCACCTTATATTGCCACCAGTCAATACCAATTGACCAGCTGATGCCAGTTATTGCTGCCAGTCACTGCCAGTCTCTGCCATTGATCTCCATTGATCATGTCTTTTGATCCTGCTCACTGCCATTGGTCTCTCGAACTCTTCTGAATATTTACAGCTCTTTTTAATGGGATCTGCTCTGTCCACTCTACACAGGATAAAAATGCTCAGATTTATACAGCTACTGGAGAGAAGCTTTATTTGGACCTGTGCAGCACCACAGGAGGTCAGCACACTGGAGGGAGCCCTCCTTGACTAAGCCAAAGGGAGCACAACTTATGTACAGTAGCAGTGGGAACTGGTCCAAGTTTCAAGCCTGCCAAAAAGTCATCTGGGATTGGTTCATGTTCAGATCCAACCCTGATAATTGGTTCAAAATGCAAACCTGCTAGCACAGTCATCTGAGGTCACAGGCTGGAGTCACCAGGAATGGCCAAAGGTCAGTCATCCAAGATTGATCAATGCTCTGAGCCAACTGTGGTCAAGGTAGATATCTGCTGTGGCCACTCTGTGGTGTCTAAGACAGCTGCAGCCGAAGCTGTCAGTCAGGGGGTGCCCCCTCTGGCTGTTGGAGAAAAGGAAAGGGTAGTGTGTTTCTTGTCTGGCTCACTTTTTCCCTCCTTCCCTCCCTCCCTGCCTGATATGAGCCAGGGTCAACCTACCTTTGGAGGGAAATGATTTAGGCATTCAAAGACAACATTCAAGCAGGGTGGGTGAAAAGAGATCCTGAACCTCTGAGTCCTGACTTCCACCCAGAAAGCACTCAGTGTGGTTCCTTTGAATTTTTTTAAGTATTACCTGCCAAGCAAGAGGCAGACCCCCAAGTTCTGGACTATCAGCATGAGTAAGTGCCTGCACTTAAAATGGTTGGAGAATTAAGCCCCATGGACTTCTCTGGCAGCTGAATGTAGGCTCAGGTTTCCTGAGGACCCTCTTGCTATAATTGAGTCAGATCCTACATAAAAAGCACACCTGTAATTCTATCTACTCCAGAAGCTAGGGCATGAAGATCACCAGTTTAAGATCAGCCTGGCTGACTTAGCTAGACTGTGCCTCAAAATTAAAAAAAAAAAATGTTTAAGGACTGAGGATCTAGCTCAGTACTACTTGGTTCAATCCACAATACTGCAGGGGGAAAAAAAAGACCTTAGATGAAAGATATTTGCCAATGCCTTACAAGACTCTTAGGAAATAGCAGAAATCTGCAATGGCCAAAAAATAAATAAATAAATAAACAAACAAAATTAGCAAACCATGAGTTGAAATTAAAGTAGTGATCTAGAAGCAGGGTTGCCTTAGGATAAAAAACAGAAACCTCCATGAAGGCTGAAATCAGAACTAAGCCCAGACCCACTGTAGACAGGGTATTTGAACCTGCTGCTCCCATGAGGCAGAGATGTCTGAGGGGCACAGGAAGTTCCAAGTGGAAGACCCTCTAGAAAGAAACATCTCCAATTTCTAGAGCCTCAGGAATCCCAGATCCTTTAAATATGAGCTCACAATTGAAGACCAGAGATGGCAATCATTAAAAACAGCCAATTTGGTGCCCCAAAAACTTCAGATGTCAGAATAATCAGATAATAACTAATTCACATTGACTATTTCTGTGTGCCAGATACTGTTCTAAGTGTATTGATTCATGTAACATTCACACAGACCTATAAGATGACACTATTCTTATTCTCATGTTATAGAATTAAAAAAAAAAACCCAGGAGTGGTGGCACATGCCTGTAATCCTAGCACTTGCAAGGCTGAGGCAGAGAATCACAAGTTTGTGGCCAGCCTGGGCTACATAATGAGTTCAAGCCCAGCCTTGAACCTTGTCTCAGAAAACCAAAAAAAGGAAGGAAGGAAGGAAAAGAGAAAGAAAGAGAACAAGACAAGACCTAGGGCACTGTGAGGTTAAGTTCCTTGTCTGAGATTATAGACTGATAAATTGAACATGAGCGTTCTGACTGCAGAACGCATTACTATAAAATACCACACTATAGGGCCTCCAATATGACAACTTATTAAATGTCTAAATAAATAATTTTTTAATTATGGTAAAATATATCTAAAATAAAATTTACCATCTTAACCATTTTAAGTGTACAGTTCAATGATTCATACATTCCCATTGTTGGGTACCATCACTGCCATCCATCCACAGAACTGTTTTCACCTTGTAAAACTTAAACTGTATATACAGTACACGGTAACTTCTCATTTCTCCCTGGCAACAACCATTCTTCTTTCCTCCTTTTTTTTTTTTTTCTTTTTTGCAGTACTGGAGATTAAACACAGGGCCTTTAAACTGTGCTATAACCCCAGTCCTTTCATTTTTTTATTTTAAGTTTCCCAGGTGGAACTCAAGCTTTCAATCCTCCTCCCTTAGCTTCCTGAGCCACTGAACCACCATGCCCAGCCCACCATTCTACTTTTATCCATGAATTTGACTACTCCTATAAGTGGAATCATACAGTATTTGTCTTTTTGTTCTTGGCTTATTTCATTTAGCATAATGTCCTCAGGTTCATGCTACCATGTGGTAGCATGTGTTAGAAGTGCCTTCCTTTTTAAAGCTAAATAATATCTCATTATTTATATCACATTTTGTTTATCCATTTATCCACTGATGAACATTTGGGCTACTTCTACTGTTTGGCTATTGTGAATAATGCTGCTATAAGGGACTGGGGGTTTAGCTCAGTGGTTCTGCCACCTGCCTTGCAGTGCAAGGTCCTGAGTTCGCTCCCTGGTACAAAATAATAATAATAATAATAATAATACTATGAAGATGAGTGTACAGGCATCTCTTTAACACTTTATATGCCTAGAAGTGAAATTGCTGGATCATATAGTGATTCTATTTTTTAATTTCTTGAGAACTACCGTATCGTTTTCCATAAAGTCTTGATTTTTACATACATTAACAGTGCACAAAGTTTCCAATTTCTCCACCTCTTCACCAACATTTGTTATTTTCTGTTAAAAATACATTTTAACAGGGCCAGGGATTTAGCTCAGTGGTGCCGCTGCCTGCCTCGAAAGCACAAGGTCCTGAGTTGGATCCCCAGTACCAAAAAAAAAAATACATTTTAACAATCAAGGAAAAATGACTGGTAGATTTGAAGAAGAATCAAATGGAGCTTTTAGAAATAAAAACTAGGGGCTGGGGATTTAGCTCAGTGGTTCCACTGCCTGGCTCACAAGTACAAGGTCCCGAGTTCGATCCCTGGTACCAAAAAAAAAAAAGAAATAAAAACTATCATAAGAATGGAAAATTAAGTGGGTTGGATAAATAGCATTTAGGACATAGATTGAGAGAGAATGAACTAGAAGGTAGATTGAAGAAGTTACTAAATTTACAAGAGAAAGATCAAATGAAAGCAAGGCAATGAGCAATAGAGGCTAGATTGGTATGTTCTAACATATTCAGTTCCTGTAAGGACAGAAAAGAAACAACGAAAGAGAGATGCTATCTAAAAGGATAACAGTTGAAAATGTTCCAGAATTGAAAAGGCATGAATCCACAGATACAAGTATTGGAACAGCACAATTTTTTGGCCACTGGTGAGGTAAGGACATCACAATGGGAACACATAGCACAGCAAAACCTAGCTTCATCAGCAGGGTGCAAAAGAGACTGAGAAGGGGCCAGGGTCCCACCATCTCCTTCCAGGGTGCACTCTCAGTGACCTAAGTCCCTCGCCCTAGGCTCCATTTCTCAATGGCTCCACCACCTCCCAATAACACCACTCTGGGGACCAAGTCTTTAATACACGGATCCTTGGGGGACATTCAAAATCCAAACTTTAGCAATGGCCAGGGAAATATTCTCAAGGAAATGACATTTGAGCAGTGATCTGTCTGAATGAAGAAAATGTAACCTGAGGCTATCTATGGGAAGGGCATGCTAACAGAGAAACTGCATGCGCAAAGGCCCTGGGACAGGAGGAGCCCTGATATTTGCAGGAACAATAAAGAGAATAATGAGGCTAAAGTGGGCTGAGTCAGCAGGAGAACATCAGAAAAAGAAGATATCAAAGAGGCAATAGGGGCCAGAGCAATAGGCCATCTGGGCTTCTGTAAGTTAGAATGGAAGGTTCTGGGGGGGGGGCATCTGATTGTCATTTTTCAAAGATGTCATTAATGTGCAACAAAATTCACCATTTTTAGAGCAATGTTCTCCCGATTCTGTTCTGGTACAAGTAAGCAACCACCACCATGGCTGCATCAGTCCCAAAATGCCCTCTTTGTCCTTTGTTGCCAATGCTTCCCCCTTCCGAAGCCCTGACAACCACTGTTCTATTTTCTGTCCCTATAGTTTTCTTTTTCCATAATGGTATATAAATGAGACCCTATAAGGTTTTATTTTTTTAGAGCAGTTTTAGATTCATAGCAACACTCAGCAGAAGGTATAGTGATTTTTCAGGCACTTCCCCCACATGTGCACAGCCTCCTCCATTATC